CCTCCGTCCTCCACCCGCCCGTCCCTGCTCCGGCACGGGCTTCCCCCGGGGTCCCAGCCTCCTTGGGGCACATCCCCTGCTCCGGCGTGGGCTCCTCCCCGGGTGCAGGGGGACCCCTGCTCCCTGGGGGCCTCCATGGGTGCAGGGCACAGCTGCCTCGCCATGGGCTGCACCCGGGGTGCAGGGGAATCTCTGCTCCGTGCCCGGAGCACCTCCTGCCCTCCTCCTGCACGGACCTGGGTGCCTGCAGGGCCGTTTCTCTCACACGTGCTCACTCCTCTCTCCCGCTGCTGTTTTTTCCAGCAGGCTTTTTTCCCCCTTCTTAAAAATGTTATCCCAGAGGCGCTACCACCGGGTCCGTCTTGGAGCCGGCTGGCGTTGGCTCTGTCGGACACTGGGGAAGCTTCTGGCAGCTTCTCACAGAAGCCCCCCCTGTAGCCCCCTGCTACCAAAACCTTGCCACGCAAACCCAATACACCTGTAGTGTCCTGCAAATCGCAAAGACTGAGGTTTCTTGGCACTGCAGAAGTTTTGACTATTGAAATGAGGAGATTATTACAGCAATGCTTTCAACATTAGCCAGGTCATTTTCTCATACATTAATGACATAATAGAAATTTATGGAAGTCTTTATTGAATCTTAATTGCTCCCTAAGACCATGACTGAAATAGAAAAAGTGACTGCATTCTGCTTTGACTGCTACAGCAGATGTTGAGGATACAGAATCCTGAACTTGGATTTTTTTCATTTAAGGGAAACTTCTGATTCTTCATATTTACATACAACGGTTTGTATGTTTTCTGTAAAAAGTCACACAATGTTTTGTCAATTCCAGATTTTTGCCAGCTCTTTAAAATACTGTTAGTTTTCTTTTAGAATAATACTAATACATTTCCTGATAGTCCCGTATGAAAGGTGCTTTTCAAGGGTGAGATGGATAATTCAGGTATTTAGCTTGCTACTAGAAGCCTCTAATATTTTGTTGAGGCTTTTCTTATTCTTTACAAGGAAGAACATTTTAAACCAGAACACTGCTGAAGAATTTAAATTGCATCTTTCTCACTAGCAAATGAGTTCAAATTAGCCCAATTACAATTAAAACATGACATATTTATCAACCATTAATGATGAGAAATAACGTAAATCGAGGACAAATCTGTTTACAATTTAATAATCCACCTCAAGTGACTGCCAGGAGAATTTACCAATGCCTAAAAATTGCCATAAATTACGCTCTTAGTTGAAAAGTTTGAAGTTTTTGAAAAAGCTCAGCTCTTGCAGATGCCATTGAATATTAGAGATTTCTAAAGATGTAAAAATAGAACTCCTTTGGTTGAAATTACGTCCCTCTGAGAAACTGTAAAACCCCAAAACTGCAAAACCCAGGAAGTTTTTGAATGCTGACTTAGAAACAAGAGCTGCACTTCATTGTAATCTTGTGCATTTTTAACCTCTTATAGAAGATTAATCCAGGATCATACTTAGCATGAACAGTTTCCACAGCCTTTCACGCTATTGATAATTTCTTCTTCTAGTTTCTTCCTTTCCTCCTCTTTGGACGTCTGGTTATTTCTCTCTTCCCAGTTTGGATCGTTATGATTATTTAGTACTTTGCTGCTCTGGGTATGCCACATCTCATAATAGAGATTGTTAGGATTTGCAAGGAGGTCTGCATGTCTACCACGTTCCACAACTTTACCCTGTAAAAGAAGGGGAGTAAGTCAGTAATCAGTATTACCAGATCTTTAGGAACATAAATGCTGACAACATATGGGCCACAGTTTTACAGTATAGATTACAGCAATTATTCATCAGAAGGAGTTTGGGACGGCAATGAAGGACTGAATATGTGGTGCACCGCATTTTGTGTGACGTGGCAAGCTGAAAACAAGGAGCTGTGTTCTTCTTGACCTAACATAAACAGGAACGTGGACGCCTTTTGTCCATCTGGGCAAAACTGAAAGCCCACCAACACTGAAAGTTTT